TGAGCTTGATGGCCGCTTGATTACCTTCAAGCCTTTAAGACCCCAGACGCTATACTTTTTGATAGCCGGGCACCATCAGCTTTCTTCGCCACTCATAAGAAAGTTTTATCTAGGCTAAACTTTATACAAATAATTACTAAAACTGTTCTATCTTGTTTTATTATATATTTATATTATTAAGCTTGATAAATCTTCAATTTTACACTTTCTTTACACTACCATAATCATCTGTGAAAATTGGAAAATTAAAATACTGTTGAACTGGAATTTCCATTTCTAAGTATTTTTTTAACTGCACATGCACAGGAAGATGCAATGAATGAAAATGAGTATTAGAGCTCCACTAGATAAACTAGCTAAGAACCCTTTGTGGTGCTGTGGATCAGGCTATGAGCAATTAACTACGAGGTTGGTGGGTCAAACACACCAGCTGTTCAGCAGGAACAAATGAAGCGTCTTCTACTGAGTCATGATCGGCTCAATGGCAGTTTGTTTGGTGTTTTGTTTTGTTTTACAGCGAATTTAAATAGGACACTTTATTGTTTGGGGAATTCCTCACACCCTGGACATTTTATAAGCCTCATTCTCAATGCCTTAGCTTTCCATATTCTCTCTCTCAATCCTTGACTCCCAGAACTGCTCTGCTCTCCTGGTTATTGCCCCCTTCCAACCTAGCCTTCATGACCAATGACTCATTCTCTGCTTACTTGATTCCCGTGCACCTCTGAATGCCTGTATTCTCACCTCATGCCATAAAGGGTCATGGAGATTTTCCAACAACAACAAAAGAAACAAAATAGAGATTTAAAACTATGACTAAAAATTATAGATTTGGAAATTAGGCTATACATATGCTTTAGAGTATTTTGAAAATGAAAACCAGGGGTGATCAGTTACATATCCTTTATTATCTACTGCAGTGGTTCTCAAACTTCCTAATGCCGTGACCCTTTAATACAGTTCCTCATGTTGTGGTGACTCCCCAAACCATGAAGTTATTTTCATTGGTACATCATAACTGTAGTTTTGCTACGGTTATGAATCAGGCGACTACTGTGAAAGTGTCGTTCAATCCCCAAAGGGGTCGTGACCCACAGGTTGAGAACCGCTGGTCTAGGAGGACGAATATTACTGGTTTCCCAGGGAGATTCCCTCTTGCACTTGGCTCTAGAACAAATGTTTCCCTTGGCATTCCATATAGTGGGAAAGTGAATGGATTCCACTCTCGCTATGCCACTAAGATAAATGTTTTATTTTGAAGGCCCCTTGATAAAAAGCAAAAACCAAATTCCAAATATATGATACCATTCATATAACTTTCTACTATTTGATATGTGTCAGCAAAAAAAAACAACAAAACACCAGTCCTCGGCCATGGGTTATTAGGTGTGAGCATATTAAAGCATGATTCCTACTGGCTTTTTAGTAACAGAATCCTTAAAAAGATAATATACATTCTATAGAAAAGAATTTATTCTAACACAGATCATAGATCTAGGAAAATTTAATGAGAATTTTTTAAAATTATTTTTTTAAAACATTTTCTTTCTATTTGAGTCCTTGGTACCAG